CTTTAATATGAGAGTCTGTTGAGGAGGCGTTCATGTTCTTTATGCTGCAGATATGAAGAACTTTAGACTCACCAGGTGCTTCCAGAGGAGTCCCTGTCTCCAAACGCACTGAAGGAGCCGTCGTCTCTCTGATAGGACAGCTCTCTCTCGTAACCTGCAGGAAATCACAATCAGAATCAGAATCAGGTTTATTGCCACATGGAAATAATTTGGTGCATACGTTAGATTAGAATCAACTGTATTTTCATTGCACAGAGAACAAGATCACACATCCTCTGTTTTTATTGATTATATTGTGTTGTTTTTGTGCTATTTTGCTTTTTGTGTTTTGTGTTCCTTGTACGGTGACCTTGAGAGCCTTGAAAAGTGCCTTTATAAATAAAATGTATTATTATTATGATTATTATAAATAGGACAACAAAATGCACTTAGCATCCAACCAAAAGTGCAAAAAAAAACAGTAGTAAATTGCAGAGTGACGTCAAATGTAATACATAATAATAGTAATAATAGTAATAATAATAATAATAACAATAATAATTATAATAATAATACATAAACAAAGTAAGAGGAACTGGGTTACAAAAAAAGGAGCAAACATATAAATATTAATAAAATAGTTAAAAAATATATTATGACAAAAACAAGAAGAAATATTTGCAAGAATTCTTAAAATTCTAAAAAGTACAAATTGATTTGACAATTAACCCTGAAAACTCAAATATGTGGAGTATATCAGGGTTTATAATTAATATAATTTAGAATCGCATGGCATTGAAAAAAAAAAAAAAAATAAATAATTAATTTAATTTTTTTTAAAGTTAGCCTATCATCCATCCTTACTGTGGCATTTGCCACTTGATTGACGTACAGGTAAGCCAGTCTGAGTTGTATTGTGCCATCTCCTCATCTGAAGCGCAAATGCGGCGCACTATTGCGCCACAGTTTATCCGTCGTTTTGTCCACTAGCACCCCTCCCCCGCGCTCGCAACACAGATTGGGCAGGGGCGGCCCTGTAGGTAGATCTTTTGGGCTTGGTCATTTTAAAAGTAGCTCCCAAGCTGAAAAAGTGTGGGCACCCCTGATCTAGATCATACTGCAGTCAGGGATGTGCAGGAAGAGTTTTGACATTCAAAAGTAAAATGAAAGCGAAACAACAAGCGGCAGACGAACATGTAAAATATGGAAGTGTATCTCCTTTTTATCAATTTGAACTCAATTAGCTATATATTGTAATATGCTGTAATTTATGTTTATGCACCAAAATGAATGTGTACGCACAGAATGCAACAAAGGATAGACTTATATCAAGTAAAAAATGCACTTGCAGGATTCTTACTTTCTTTAGATTTGTGTCCTCATGGTTGATTGCACTTATTGTAAATTTGATTTAAGTGTCAGCTAATTGAAATGTGATGTCAGTGTTAGCCGTGTTTACCCTTCTTCATGAAGTCAGTGGCTCTGGTGGTGGTCTCGGGGTCCGCCCGCCCCACAGCATTCAGATACTGCAGGACGAAGATATTCGGAGCGAAGTGGATCATGTTCTGTTCCCCGCATCCGTACGGCAGCCGGATCAGAGAACCGAGACCGCTGATGGACGGGCCGAGAATATCCCCTTCATCACAGAGAGAACATCCATCAAGGGTTATCCAGAAAGACCAGAATGCTAATGTGAATATATCGTACCCCATATGCAGAGGTGGGAAGTAGTGGAGTACAAATACTTCGTTACTGTACTTAAGTACATTTTTCTGGTATCAGTACTTTACTCCACTACTTTCTGACGACTTTTTACTTTGACTTCTTACATTTTGAACCCAAATACCTGTACTTTCTACTTCTTACATTTTGAACACAAATACCTGTACTTTCTACTTCTTACATTTTGAACACAAATACCTGGACTTTCTACTTCTTACATTTTGAACCCAAATACCTGTACTTTCTACTTCTTACATGTTGAACACAAATACCTGTACTTTCTACTTCTTACATGTTGATCACAAATACCTGTACTTTCTACTTCTTACATTTTGAACACAAATACCTGTACTTTCTACTTCTTACATGTTGATCACAAATACCTGTACTTTCTACTTCTCACATGTTGAACCCAAATACCTGTACTTTCTACTTCTCACATTTTCCAAACAGGCTGGTTCCTTTAGTTTGAATGTGTGTTTGGTGGCGTGATCATTATTATTTAGAGTCATTGCGTGCCTATTGATTTGAACACGATCCGTGTATCCATCATTTCCTGGTCTTCTCTAAAGAAGAGGGACCAATGAAAACGTTGTCATGTTGCCGTTGTTCAGCATGGAAACATTCATTAGCTAACTATGACATTATTGTTCTATTAATATAAAGGGAGGTCAGGTACTCTTTAAAACAGCTGCTAGTTATGGGTACTTTTTACTGAAGTACATTTCAAAGCCTCTTTACTTTTACTTGAGTAAAGAAGTTTAGTCAGTACTTCTACTTTCACCAGAGTATTTTTAAACACGAGTCAACTGCTAAGCTAAAGGAGGCTAATGTTGGGCTATAAAGGAACTAAAGCACGGTCACATGACTTCACGTCACCACCATTTTTAAATCCACCAGCAGTACAATCAGTTAAAAGTCTCGTCAGTGCTAAAATGCTAACTCATTTCCGGGTTTAGGGACTCATTCCTGCAGCTCTGTATTGACTCATCCCTGAAACAATGTTTTTTTTTTTAACCTTACCGGACTCATCCACCCCAAGTTTGTTTGAAGATATGCATTCATTTGATTTCCAATCCAAAAGGACCCTAGGACATAAAAAACTGAAGGACAGGGGAATAAGAAGGGCTAAAATGACTCATTCCCACGTTTAAGGACTCATACCTGCACCACCATGTTGGATCAAGGTATATCGTAACTATTTCATCAAGTGTTCAACTGAAGTCTTGTAAAAATGTACTGTAGGTGTTGTGAAGAAACTGCTAACATAGCTAATCAACAATCAGTATTAGAGGCAAAGAACCTGACGTGATCATTTTTAAATCCCTTTTTGTTATTTTACAGGAATCCAAAGACCTCAGATGCTCATGGATCTGTGTTTGTTTCCCAGCAGGTCATGACTCAAGTTTTTTTGTGTGTGTTTACATACCACCGACGGTTACTGTGGCTCTCTCGCTGCCCTCAACAACGTCTGCAGGAAAGGAGAAGCTGATCTCTCTGGAAACACTCGGCTGAGACGGAGAAACCTCAAGAAGCATCGAGGAGGAGAACGACTGCTCGAGACCTTCAGCCTGCAGCGGAAACATCACAAGAAAAACAGCCAGACACAAACAAACGGGGTGAGTAAGACTTCTGGGAAAAAGCAGAGCTGTGAAAGGAGATCAGGAGTTTTGAGGCTAACACGTTGACAGATCTGATAAACAAACTGACAGCTTTTACATCTTGCTGCTCACTTCACAGCTTCTTTCACTTTCACTTAAAAGCCTCAGATCTAATTGCTTCTGCTCATATCAATGATGTAGTGCGTGCATCTTTGAAAAAGCTCTTATCCTTCCTGTTTTAGTTGCTTTTTACTGTTTTAAACCACAAAATGTAACTTAATGGCTCTCATATATGTCATTTTGAAATCCCTCCATTGGGTCAACATTATTTCACTTCTCATGTCTGACTTCCACTCTGTGATTTGGGTAAGCTTCTTTAAACGTACACATTTTGCAGATTCTGTGTGCTATATATACTACAAAATGTACGTCAATGGACCTCAATCATCAAATGTAAGAGTTTCTTCACTGCAGCCACATTATTTTACTTCCTGTTTCTTAGATTTTCACCTTGACGAGCACCGTCTTGGTCAACATGTCGGACGCCGCCGCTGACAGAGCTTTCACGGAGACGCTGATCTCCCCGAGGACCAGCGGCCTGATGGGAATGAGGACAGATGCGCCGCGCTGACTCACAACGGACACTTTGCGAACATTTGGCATCGGAAGCTCTCCATTGTCCGGGAACACAAACTCAAAGGTGTCATTCTCGGCAACAATCACCCTGACCTGTAGACAAAGAGACAGAGGAAGAACCACCCAGATCACATGAAACACACAATACCAAAGAGAGGGCGAGGACACAAAAGAGCCATGTTGTTGTAGGAAAATATCAAATTTAAGACCGACTTCTTGCTCTTTTGGGTGCTTTATTTTAATTTCTAATCTACTATATATTTTTTGTAATGTTATTATAGTGTTATTAATATAGTTCGCTATCTGTGTTTTTTACTTTATGTATGCACCACTGTAGCAGGACAGGGGAAAAAGTAAACACACTCCTACAGATTCCCTGAGAAAAAGGGGAGTGGCTAATCAAGCCACCCCTGAGAGAAGCTGGAGGAAACCAATCAAGGAAATGATTGGCACCTGTGTGCTGTTAAAAGGAGGACAGCATGTTATTCAAAAGAAAAGGAGAAAGAACCAAGAGGAAGTCGGATCTAGCAAGGAAGAAAGTGGATTCTTATGGACTTCATCAGATAAATCAGGCTATTTTTGGGAGTTTTGCCACTGAACCCAGGAGCTGTTGGGGAAACATTTAACTTTCCCCTTCCCAGTTAAAACCTGCAATCCGGTGATCTACTCTGGCCTGTCACACTCAGATAAGTTATTCTCACTACACCAATATCATTTCCCCTCCTCTTGCACTCTACACACACACACACCACACTCTGGACTTTACTTTCACACATCCCTATCCCCTGAACTACACTCTTAAACTGAGTGACAAAGGACAAAAAATAATTCTTATTAGGTTAGATATTTAGAGGAATGCTGAGGAAGAGCCTGGTTGCTCTAAATGTGCAGAAAGTATGTTTTTTTTAAATAAAAATATATGAACTCAGTAACTATATATCTGTATTTGATACAGCTCTAATTGGCTTGCTATCCATTGCAAAAGTAGCTGAGGCTCAAGGGGATTATAGTATTTAGAGCAATCCACCATACCTTAAAAACATCTGTGTTCCAAATAATAATCTATTTTATTCACCGCTTATGCTGCAGCTCCCATACTTTTTACTTAAGTACATTTCGAAGCCCATAGAGAGGCGAAGTCCCTCCCTTTCCGGGGGACCTCCATGGGACCTTATTTCGGAAAAATTATGTATTGAAGTCAATGGAGAGAGAAAACTTATCTTTCGATCCCGTTTGAATTGTGCCACGAATTACACACATGATGTTTGTCAATCTTAAAAAATAATTTCCATGTCAAAAAAGTCACCGTTTGTCATAAAACTGTTGAAATATAAGACTATGAAAAATACGCAACTAGAAAGACTACAAATCCCAGAGTCGTGTAAGTGATGTCACTCATAACTGATGTCACAATTGTTTTCCTCCACTAAAATAGAGATAGCTAAGATGCCTGTGTGCTTAGTACCAGGTTGTAATTATACCAGCAATGGGTCTTGCTCGTTCTTTCGCTTCCCGTCTGATGAAAGGACCAGGAGTGGCTGGATCAAGTTAGCTACCTAGCTAGTAGCAAGCACGTTAGTTAGCATTACAGCCATCTTAGCCTTGTCATTTTTATTAGCCTTAGCATGAAGTAACATGAAGTAACCCAAAATGTTAAACAGTAAGAGTAGTAGTCATATTTCGTGAACTCTTTGAAGAGTACTGTCACACCGGTGTGATCATTCTATAATACACTGTTTAAGCCCGGATGCCCCCGGGGGAGACATGCTAACGCTAACGCTACATTAGCATCGGCGATCTTTTCTACTTCATGCTATCTGCACAAATGGTTAACATTGAACATTAAAAAGATCAGGCAGTTCAGGGAGAATCGAAGGAAGGCAGGCAGGCAGCTTTGCATGACATTCTTCTGGACGTGTTTCATTGTGGTGATAGTGAGGGTTAGTCCATCCTTTTTTTGGCAAATAAGGTCCCATGTGTTCCACCGGAAAGGGAGGGACTTCGGCTCTCTATACTTCTTTACTTTTACTTGAGTAAAGAAGTTTAGTCAGTACTTCTACTTTTAGCAGAGTATTGTTAAACAGTAACACGAGTATCTGCACTTCTACTTGAGTAAAGGATGTGTGTACTTTTGCCCTCTCTGATGCTCAGATATCCAATATGCAAAGGATTGAGTCTTTTTTTTTGGGGTGAAAAAGCCAACTGACCTCCAGGTCCTGAGAGAGGTAGTTGAACAGAACGATCTCCAGCAGAAGCTCCTCTCCTCGGATGATGTACGACGGCACGTTCAAGGACAGGAAGAAATCCTGGAACACTGTGAGCTGCAGGAGGGTCACATGGGAACTCATTAGGTTTAAAAAAAAACACTAACAACTGCAATATGCATGGTTTATACCAATAATAATTTAATTTCCACGTAAAAAAATTGCATAATATTAGGAATTTCTCCCAAAGCAAATACTTACATTTTTTATATTATGGCTGTTTTTACTCCAAATAATAATAAAAGGAATTCAGAGAGTCAAAAAGTGATTTGAATTTAAGCGAAGTCAGAAAAATAACAATTATAGATATCCATAATCGTTTCAAAACAGGGTTGTCAAAGTTAGGACTGTTGCAATAATAATAAATATACATTTTGTATAAAGCAATCATATTTGTCCACTCCCAAATTGATCAAGTTTTCAAAAATGTGGAAAATATCCCATTAAAGGTAGCCTACATTCAAAACAGATAAAGAAATTGGGATTTAGTTAACTATGAACATCATGCATTTGAATCGATTGACATCCCTTATCCAAAACAAGGAAAAAGGTTAAAATCAATAAACAAAAATTGGTTTTATGAAGGTTACTCTTGTATTTTGGGGATTATTATTTAGTCTTGTACTATAGTGAATTAAATACCTTAGCAGGCATGTTTACGATGCCCAGGCCGAGGTTCTCAGACATGACGAAGGCGGTGGCTTCCCACGTTGTGATGCTGTCAGGTGCAGTCAGAGTAATATCTGCTGAGTCTGAATCCCTGCGAAAAACAGAAAAAATGTTTTAATAAATATAGTGATAATGGTTAACAGAGAGTTAAACTATTGTTTTAACCCAAAATGAGAAGACCAAACGTCATCACGGCCAACCTAGCAGCCTTTAGCTTAGCGGTGGTGACGTGAAGTCATGTGACCGTGCTGTAGTTCCTTTATAGCCCAACATTAGCCGCCTTTAGCTTAGCGGTGGTGACGTGAAGTCATGTGACCGTGCTGTCGTTCCTTTATAGCCCAACATTAGCTGCCTTTAGCTTAGCGGTGGTGAAGTCATGTGACCGTGCTGTAGTTCCTTTATAGCCCAACATTAGCCACCTTTAGCTTAGCGGTGGTGACGTGAAGTCATGTGACCGTGCTGTCGTTCCTTTATAGCCCAACATTAGCTGCCTTTAGCTTAGCGGTGGTGACGTGAAGTCATGTGACCGTGCTGTAGTTCCTTTATAGCCCAACATTAGCCGCCTTTAGCTTAGCGGTGGTGACGTGAAGTCATGTGACCGTGCTTTAGTTGCTTTATAGCCCAACATTAGCTTTTTACTTCAGAAATCATAAAGTGGCGTTAATATGTGGAGATTATCTGCTGAACTAAACGTCTAAGTATCATAAACGTTTGTTTGAACCATTATTTTCTGCAATAATCTAAAATCACATGGAGGAATCCCATTGGACCAGGGAGATGCTGCCTTCAGGGTTAACACAGAAATACAACATCCCTGCACCGCTCTCATTATATTTCTAAAGCTTTACCCTGTGTATTTGTCCATCCAGATCCAGGTCTCCGGAAAGTTCCAGCGCTCTCGTGGCTCCACTCGATGCTCCATATTTGAATCGTCATATTTGAATACCATGTCATTAAATATTCCCTCGCCCTCTGTTTAGAAGACGAGGATTGTTTATATTAGAATCAGATGGACACAACTTTTTTTAAATGCAAGATTTTGATTGACATTGATTGTTAAAACTTACCAAATTCAGGCCTCAGTGGATTCCACCTCATGTTTAAAGTGGCGTCAGTCAATGCCACAAGGTCACATGTCTGCAGAAAGACATTAAACATTTAAAAAAAATACTAATTTCAATCCACATTTAGGTGAAACGCTTATAAGTTCTTTAGAAGGAGCTTCAACAACATTCATTTGGCTTGAATGCAAAGAAAATATCATTAATTCAGTTAGTTACACAGACAGCTCTACTTCTTCTAAAATCAAGACTGAAGACCTTTATGTTTGCCGCTGCTTCATCTTAACTCAAATAACTAGTAATATTACATTTCAGCTTGTTTTTATTTGTATTATCTTAGGCTCCGTCCACACGGAGACAAAACGGGTTGTATCTGCTACAGTTCTCTATCTTATAGAGACTGTTCGTCCACACGAGGCCGACACGGAAACGCGGTAACGGAGCCCTCAAACGATAACGCATCCCAAGGTGGATCTGCGGACGAAACGCTCTGGGGGGGCAAACGGCTCCGTGTGTACGTCCTATACGATCATTTCCTGATAAGGATGACGCCATAGCCCTGCCTCTCCCCACCTCTGCTGCTCACCCCCGCGTCACCCGATTAAACTCCATATCATGTTCCAAACCACATTAAGGATTATTTCTGAAACAGTATGGAGCTCAAACTCTTTCTCTCTCTCAGGTTTACCACAAGGTGAGTTCCTTTTTTATTTCCTGCTTCTTCACACATACTCTCTCCAGTACAGGTTAGCTCTGAGTGTTAGCGATGCTAATGTAAACACAGACCATATTACTTCCAGAACACGTCTCAGTTTCTGAGAGCAACGTTTCTGATTGGCCCGTGGGTGTAAAGCCCGCCCACATTTGAGTAATGTCGTCATGACGCAGCAAATCTGGATCAGCTCCGTTGTTCCCTCATTTTTAGAGATGTGGGTACGGAGGAAAAGAGAGAGGGTTTTATTTTCTGACACTTTGTGAGTCTCCTGACACACCGGGGACACACCGGGGACACATGTTGATGTATAAAAGACATAAAAAAATGCATTTTGCATGATAGGACACCTTTAATACTGTGTTGTGTCTCTAACGAGGCTAACCTTGAAGACGGAGTACGGATCTCCCATTGTCATCTCCCCATAGTGGGTGTCGGCCGTTGAAACGCCGTACTCCTTCATCTCCTTCAGCACCTGTGAATGGGAAAGATATGAACAAAGATATAGCAGCTACTGTTGCATCCCACTAAGAGCAACAATACAGGGAGAGCACTTATTCAGAGGTGGGAAGTAGTGGAGCACAAATACTTTGTTACTGTACCAAGTACATTTTTCTGGTATCAGTACTTTACTCCACTACTTATTTTTCTGACAACTTTTTACTTTGACTTCTTACGTTTTGAACACAAATACCTGTACTTTCTACTTCTTACATTTTGAGTACAAATACCTGTACTTTCTACTTCTTACATTTTGAACCCAAATACCTGTACTTTCTACTTCTTACATTTTGAACCCAAATACCTGTTCTTTCTACTTCTTACATTTTGAGTACAAATACCTGTACTTTCTACTTCTTACATTTTGAGTACAAATACCTGTACTTTCTACTTCTTACATTTTGAGTACAAATACCTGTACTTTCTAATTCTTACATTTTGAGTACAAATACCTGTACTTTCTACTTCTTACATTTTGAGTACAAATACCTGTACTTTCTAATTCTTACATTTTGAGTACAAATACCTGTACTTTCTACTTCTTACATTTTGAGTACAAATACCTGTACTTTCTACTTCTTACATTTTGAACCCAAATACCTGTACTTTCTACTTCTTACATGTTGAACACAAATACCTGTACTTTCTACTTCTTACATGTTGAACACAAATACCTGTACTTTCTACTTCTCACATTTCCCAAACAGGCTGGTTCCTTTAGTTTGAATGTGTGTTTGGTGGCGTGGTCATTATTATTTAGAGTCATTGCGTGCCTATTGATTTGAACACGATCCGTGTATCCACCATTTCCTGGTCTTCTCTAAAGAAGAGGGACCAATGAAAACGTTGCCGTTGTTCAGCATGGAAACATTCATTAGCCAACAATGACATTATTGTTCTATTAATATAAAGGGAGGTCAGGTACTCTTTAAAACAGCTGCTAGTTATGGGTACTTTTTACTGAAGTACATTTCAAAGCCCTCTTTACTTTTACTTGAGTAAAGAAGTTTAGTCAGTACTTCTACTTTCACCAGAGTATTTTTAAACACGAGTATCTGTACTTCTACTTGAGTAAAGGATGTGTTTACTTTTGCCCTCTCTGCACTTATTGTTTAAAACCTGTTTGAGCGAGCTGGGGTAAAAACAGGGCCGTCCCTCCCTACAGGCCGATCACGCAGACTGCGTGGGGCTTCACCTTGCGGAGGGGGCCTCATCTTGCGGAGGGAGCCTCGACTGAGCCGCAAATGTGGCGCACCTATGCGCTTATGCGGCGCAATTAGTGTGGCACGGTTTCGTGGCTGCGAGGCTCCACTAGCATCAGACTGAAGACCCATCAAACTTCTTTTCTTGTTTCTAGTTCATAAAAGTATTCTAAATTATGATTATGAAGAGAAGAGAGTGCTACAATGCTATTCACCTTACTCTTTACCTGAACTAGGACCTTCTGCATTGCCTTGTTTTACATTTCGTTTTAGGGTGGAAGTGCAATAACTTAGAATCGCTTGTTTTTTTATCAACCTTTACTTTTCTGAGAAATGTTTTTTTAAAGGGTTTCTTATATTCATTTTTAATACTTTTTCTGGGGAGAACGTAACCATTTGGATTCCTTATATCTAATAACTCTCTCTAAATAACTCATAGGAGCTTTGAAGATCTGCTGGCTTTTTACAAAAAGCACGCCAACAATGTTTTTATAAATACTCTCACTGCCATAACACTGTTTGACGATAGCTAGCTCGTGACATAGACTGCTAACATTTGCTAGTAAGATAGTAAGCAAATGTTAGCTAGCTTGTTCAAAAAGTAGCTAATTTTAGGTAGCTAGCTTGCTAACCAGACAAACAGGAAGTGGAAAGAGGAGAGGGGCTGCATGAAATGAACATGAATATAACTATTCTCAAAGTCTAGCATGCAAAAGGAAGGTGGATAGATCTAACTGAGACTCTGCTCTCAAAGACTCAGAACTCTTTGACTTGTTCATTGCAGAATTTCCACCACATGTTAATAAACAAACAAGCTCCCGTTCAGAATCCTTACCCTCTTCATGGTGATGTCGTTAGATCCCAATAACTTTGAGGCCTTGTCGACCACCAGGATCCCGACCAGAGACTGTTTTTCTGCCACTTTCACCTTCAGAGTGACTTCTTCCTTCGGCTCCCTCTTTGATTCACTCCAACTCAGAGACACCTGCCAATGAACATATTACCATCATCACATTGTCGTGTCAAATGATCAAATAATCATTTAAAACATATAGGGTTATACTCTGATTGCCTTTTACTCTGTTAAATTGTATTTGTAGTCTTGTATGTGTTTACATTTCAGGAGGCGAAGGAAGTAAAAGATGGATATTTAAATGGTTAAAGGGAGGTTTAATGATGGGATGTAGGACGAGTTGTTTCCTCATGAATATATATAGAGACTGTCAGCAGAACTTCTTTATCCTCTGAGGATGAAGTAGCTCTGTTCCTGCTTTTCAGATCGATTTCACTTGTATATTGACTTTATTACTTTATTAAATATAACAAAAGACAAACTTTGTCCATGAAACATTTATCAGTTTCTCTTAAGAATTTCCTCCACACACATCACACATAATCATTCACCACTTTATTCAACCACATCAGTGCAACTACAATACATTCAGCAACTTAGCCATCAGGTTTTGTCACAGAAAAGTGGTTTTAATAGGTGGTAAATGTTGACAAATTATAAAATTCTGTTTTTTGGCCGTAAATATAACTATAAGGCATATACAGTAAGTCTAAATGCTGTAAACATCTGCTGTTTAGGGATGGCTTAAGGAGATATTTGCCTAAACTGAGCAATTACACAGTTTCAGACTGACAGTATGGTAATTATTATAATTTCAATATTTAAGCAGCAAACCTGTTTTAGTGGGAATTCAATACAAGTTTGATCCTAATGTGCATATTTCCCCTTTAACATCTTAACAAAGGACCTCATCCATTAAAACTACCATTAAGAAAGTTATATGTCACTAACACCAGACAAATTCTTAAAGCGTCGTTTGCAACCAATTTAGTAACTACTAGACGACCATTTATTTCATAAAACAGTCAGATATATTATACTTATGCTGCGTTCACACCGGACGTGATGCGAATATTCGCTTCGCTCTAATCGCTCGAGTTTCACCGCGGCTGTCAGCTGTTTACTCGCATCATTCAAACAAGACGTGCTGGCTCAGGGGCTACAACTACAACAAGATGAACATATTTGACCGTGATTTAATTGTAATACACGTTTCAAAATTAAGCCGAAGTAACAACATACTGATACCGGTTAGTAAAAACCATGAGTTAATGCTTTGACAAGTCTGCAGACAGACGGCAGGCGAAAAACCTTTTTAAAATGCGTGTTTTCTGAATGGAGATCGGCTAAGCTAACGTTGTATATGCTCCGACCGTCCACACTCACAACAACGGCCTACAGACATAAATAAACCAGCGACTGTATTTGCCATGACACAGGCAGTCTGTGGTTTTTACTTGTTTAACTTTTGTCTAGTTTCTGAACAGATATGAGGAGCTGTGAGCTCTGAGTGCTAACAGCTAACGGCTGATATTTTGGTTTTCTGGTTCAACGTCAGTAACGGCAGGCTGAGATCCTCACCGCTGTTTGGCTACCGCGAGATCGCGTCATGCGAATTTGACGTTCGAGTTGAAAAAATTGAACTCGAAAGGTTATCGCGGCCCCCTCCAATAACCTCAATCACGCTGCGGCATTACCATCAACCGCATCATGCGCGCCGCCGGAGTGAATTTGCGTCTGTCCGTGTCTTTGCATTAACTTTACATGTAATAGCGCCGCCCCCAAAAACCGCATCGCGTCCGGTGTGAACGCACCATTAGACTCTTATATGCCATCTTTTCAAGCATTTAATTGGCTTCAGATTACATAAAAGTTAAGGCTTATCACCAATTTGCTAATACAAAGCTAGTTAGCATTAACTTCACTTTACTGTGCATTGGTTTTACTAACTTAATAACACATTTACTCACAATACAAGAATAACACAACTTAAGTATCACCGTGTCCTTTTTTTAAACCATAATTTTAAACACCTGAGACGATATCTCACCTGGTTTTGTAGAGTTTGTGTGATGGGTAAATGCATGACATTGTTAACGATCTCTCCACTGGGATGCACGCAGTAAACGATGATGCAGGCCACAGGAGCCCAGGTGGATTCTGGGGAAAGGACTACAACACCAGAGCTTTTCCCAGCAGAAACCACCTGACCTCTGGACATCACCTTTAAAACACAGAAGGTAGACGTCAGAACCGCCATTATCTTATTTATTTTCAAAACTGCATTCATTGACTTTTTTTAGGCCACTAGGGGGCAGAAAAACACCAAAACAAGATGACAGACATATTGTTACTTTCCAAAGTTGTATAGTGACAGAATTTAGTGATAAAAATGACATTTGCAAAGCGCTTTATCAGATAATAAATGCAGAAACTAAAAGATATTGTTAATGAAATAGCGGTGTAAAATATGTAAGGATAAAGCAACGAAATATTTTTTATAAAATCATACAATATCACACAAATCCAATTTAGATAATGTGACATAATCAAGTTTATTCTATACTTGCCCTAAGTCTACCTTTAAGCCTCAGACAATTTCTACTGATGTAAATAAATAGAATACCATATCAGAATCAAGGTTTATTGTCAAGTAGCTTTACACACGATGCATATTCTTTGGTGTATAACGGTGCAGTAAGACACGATTAGAAGTAAAAAAATGAAACCATTTTAAAAACAACTATGAAATACATAGATAACCTTCAGAAGAATTATAAATATGAATTAAATGAGTGTTTTTAACGTTGTACTTACTATGTAGTGAACCTCAGACATTGGAAAGTTGCTGTCAATGTGAAGCTCCAAGGGGGAACCAACCTGCAGGAAGAGAATATGTTTATATGACATATTTTTTTAGGTACACAAGTATTTACATTATGCTACCAGACGTTTCATATTTACCTGTGGAGGTTCAGGTGTTTTAATCTGCAGGTAGGAGTGACTGGGCGATTTGTAGATGCTGTACAGCCGTAGAGTGGAATGGCTGTCCTCAAAAAACGCCTGAAAACAAACAAACAAACAAATAAACAACATAAATATCTGAACTAGTGTCTAGTTTTCTCTCATGGTGCTACAAAATCTTGCTGACGTTATTTTGGTGTCTGCGGCTGACTTACACATCCCAGTTAATTTGTTGCATCTGTGTTGAAAATAATTTGTACTCGTGTCACCTGAGCTTCTTGTGCAGGTGATTAACAAAAAGGTTGCTTTTGCATAAAACAAAAAATGCTCCATAGCTTTACTAATAATAATACATGTTATTTATATAGTGTTTTTCCTGAGGCCTGTACTACGAAGCTGGTTCAACTTAACCTGGATATGTTGGAGTTAGCCGGTTGGCCTAAGCCAAAACGTATGCGCTGGCGCCAAGCTGTACTACGACGCTGGTTATCAAGTGGATCGCTCAAGCCAGCCGTGTCCTATCTAGTTAGGTGCGCGTTCACATGAAAGGGGTGGTATTTGGAGCATTCGACCAATCTCAAACACGGACAACCGTACTGACAGCGCAGCGTCATACTTCCTGAATGAAAAGTGAACTTTAATATTAGTCAAATATGAAGAAGTTAAACTTTAAACATCCATGTCTTAAACACTTTATCCAGGATAAAAGCCACATAGCTGCACCTGCAAGGTGAATACAGCTGGTAAAAGAAAAAGAGTTTGAATGCGTACATTAACAGGTTTATGAAATCACTGCCCCGTCCAAGACACGATCTGACTTTAATTACATTTGACTCGAGTGTTTCGTCAACTTAATGTGTTGCTTAAAATAATACTTCTGCATACAGTATGTGACACTGTGAGTGTTGCACGGCCAGATACGGCTCAAGAAGCTGACTCAGATAAGGAAATATATGATACATTATGATGTGATATGATATGAATGATAATGGGACACATCGACGTCTGCACTCACAGTGCCGCGGACTGTACTTAATGTTACTCTGATCCGGTTACTTATGTCGTGGCAGATATTTAAGTAAGCTTTCTTAACGCTAATATTATAATAGTCAGCTTGCTCTGAAGATGGGAGGGGATATTGTATTAATTTTCACGTTCACACAGTCAGTTGATTTTGGCCGGCTGTCTTTCCTGCAACGGCAGTTTTTCTGTATTTCCTCTATCCTGTAATATGAATTGATAGCTTTAAACTCCGCACACGGAGCTCTGATTGGTCAGCAGGCGGTGCTTTCACTGAGTTGATCTCTTAGCCTGCCACCTAACCTGCTCCGGAGCAGGTTTGCCGCTCAGCATAAGTTACCATGGAAATCTAGCCTGCTAAAAAGAGAACCAGCGTCGTAGGACCGGAAAGCCCAAGATTTCCCTGAATTTAGCCGGCTAAGTGAAAATCCAGCTTCGTAGTACAGGCCTCAGGTGCTCAAAGCGCTTAACAACATAACTTACTACAGGTTAAAAACTCTACTAAATCATCTGTGTGATGCACGTTTGGTTGACCTTCATATTGACCGAGTCATTGTTAAAGGGCAAGAGTTTTTAAGGTGATAAACAGATCATCTCACATCAATGGTGAGCGTTTCAGTGTCGTTCTTTATCTGGATGTTGAGGGGTATTAATCCGTCTGCTGGGACGGGGAACTCCATTTCTTCGAGCACCATCTTCTCTTCTTCCTCTAATCGTGGACGTCCCACTCTCTCTCTATCCGCGAACCACCAGCTCCATGGATTTCGCTTTCGCTGCATCACCGACACCTTAACAGTCTTTCTCTGATCCTCCTTTGACAGCGGCTCGTCGTTGTACGTGGATATTTTCAGCTATAAAACAAAGACAATCATTGACAATAATCCTTTTGAATTAAATTCTTTAGGTTGAATTATAGAGATGTGTTGGGTACATCACATAATATGGAATTATACTAATGCTTTTTGAACTGAGAAATGAAAATATGGGAAAGGTGAAGCTCATTATAAGGCAAGGCAAGTTTATTTATATAGCACCTTTCAACACAAGGCAATTCAAAGTGCTTTACAAAAATGGAAGACATTAAGAAAATGGCATTTAAAATCAGTCATTAAAAAGAAAAGATAATAACATAAACATTAAAAGAAAAAATACATGGATAAAAGTTACAGTGCAGTTTAAGATATGAATAGTTCAATTAAAAGCAGCGGCAAAAAGAAAAGTCTTCAGCCTGGATTTAAAAGTAGTAAGAGTTGCAGCGGACCTGCAGGTTTCTGGGAGTTTGTTCCAGATATTTGGAGCATAATAACTGAACGCTGCTTTACCATGTTTAGTTCTGACTCTGGGGACAGAAAGCTGACCAGTCCCTGAAGACCTGAGAGTTCTGGATGGTTCATAATTTAGCAGTAGGTCAGACATGTATTTTGGGCCTAAACCATTCAAAGCTTTATAAACCAGCAACAATATTTTTGAAATCTATTCTTTGACACACAGGAAGCCAGTGTAAGGACTTCAGAACAGGAGTGATGTGATCCACTTTCTTAGTGTTAGTGAGGACTCGAGCAGCGGCGTTCTGAATTAGCTGCAGCTTTCTAATAGATTTTTTTAGTGAGACCTGTAAAGACACCATTGCAGTAGTCGAGTCTACTGAAGATAAAAGCATGGAGAAGTTTTTCCAAATCCTGCTGTGACATTAGTCTTTTAATCCTAGATATGTTCTTTAGGTGATAGTAGGCTGATTTAGTAACTGTTTTAATGTGACTGTTGAAACTCAGGTCAGAGTCCATACTACACCTAGATTTCTGGCTCTATCTGTTGTTTTGAACATTGCAGACTGAAGCTCAGCGCTAACTTTTATACGTTCTGCCTTGGCTCCAAAAACCATTACCTCAGTTTTATCTTTGTTTAATTGGAGAAAGTTCTGACACATCCAGTCATTGATTTGTTCAATGCACTTACTCAGTGTTTGAATTGGAGCATAATCTCCTGGTGAAATTGTTACGTAAATTTGTGTCATCCGCATAGCTATGGTAACTTATTTTGTTGTTTTTCATTATCTGAGCCAGTGGTAGCATGTAGACGTTAAAGAGAAGAGGCCCCAAGATGGAGCCTTGAGGTACCCCACATGTCATATTTGTCAACTCAGATGTGTATTTACCTAAAGAAACAAAGGTTTTTCTGTCCTTTAAGTAGGACTGAAACCAATTTAGAACTGTTGCCGAAAGTCATTATAGCTTTTTATCTGAAAATCCAAGTTTTCATAATGTTATTTTGTAATAAATCTATGTATATGAGCTCGGGTTTGCAAGTTACTACCTAAAAAAAAAAACCTAATATTACAAACTAAATTAGGGAAATGGAGTATATACAGTAAACTAATATTTAAAGTGAATTATTTTAAATGGATTTAAACTACGAAAATATAAGTTTCCTTACCGTGACAGGGAGCATCAGAGAGGGCCGTAGTGTTTTTGGATGGTCCTGAAATGAACTCTCATATTTGTACTTTGCCAACGACACGTTTGTCTTGCTGCTATATGTGAGGCCTGAAACAAGGAAACACATCGTTAAAATCAGATTAATAATCAAAAGTTAAAAGTTCATTTAGTTGTAAGACAATCGAACACTGATTGTCTTTGAGATTAAGAGATTTAGGAACAATAAGACTAAACGGTTACTAAAAAATACATATTTATGGGTTCACTTTATACCCTGTGAGCCAACAATTTGGGGCGATTCCACGGGAATTCATTGGTTTCATCATGAGATTGTATTTTGCTGTTTTAACAACATGTTTATAATGAATCCTTTATTCATCTATGAATCTGTTGGCCTAAAAGTAGTACGATATAAATATATTGAAAGATAAAACATACTGGAATCAACATATCACAATAAAAGAGGACTTCACTTCAGTCTTCTCACTGTGAATTAAATCTGCAGCTGTATATCAGTATGTAGTGTCTCTACTTTAAAGAGTCCTCTTCTGCTGATGTTCAGTATGTACTGTAGTGCCTCTACTTTAAAGAGTCCTCTCCTGCTGATGTTCAGGTGTATATCAGTATGTAGTGTCTCTACTTTAAAGAGTCCTCTCCTGCTGATGTTCAGGTGTATATCAGTATGTAGTGTCTATACTTTAAAGAGTCCTCTCCTGCTGATGTTCAGGTGTATATCAGTATGTAGTGTCTCTACTTTAAAGAGTCCTCTCCTGCTGATGTTCAGGTGTATATCAGTATGTAGTGTCTCTACTTTAAAGAGTCCTCTCCTGCTGATGTTCAGGTGTATATCAGTGTGTAGTGTCTCTACTGTGACATGTCTCCATGCTTTAATGTTCAAAAAGCTCTTTTTACATACTATATGGACATGTTGGACCTGAAATCGTACATAAAAACAGATTTCCAAAGCTGGATATATAATATATATATACCTGAGATGTCACTATGATAATATACAAGTTTGATTGATGTAACATGAACCTATATACACATTTTATGAATAAATAGCAGGTGTATTCAAAGGCGTTTTTTTTATGAACGGTCTTCTCCTCTTCCATGGCAAAATGAGCTTGACTCACATTCAGAGTTCTCTTCATCATCATATTAGTTATATCTACTCCAGGTATAATTGATTACCTGTGAGGTGTTCAGTGACGTTAACAATGATTTCTAAACTATCCTCCATATATCTCGGGTAGAACATCTCTGACTGTCGTATGCTCCTCGGACGGTAGCTGTAGTCGGGAACTTCATACAGGAAGTCCGCCTCCCCGTCAATCTGAAACAAAGCAGCAGTGAGGCCATTTTCACTTTATATCAAATTAATTAAACTGATATTGTTATTTGTATTGATTTCATATGAAAAACATGTCTGTCTTATTTTTTTTAATCATGATTCCCTTTTAATATGATTATTATTGAAACGTCCAATAATATAAAAAAATGTGTACATTTATTATAATTTTTCCTCAACGTTAAATACAACAGGTTTTGGATTTAAGACGTACAATAAGGCATGTCTTTTTTAAACTATTTATACTGTTTTAAAAAAAATTATGTTTGTTAAACATATAAAAAAACAGTTATTAAAATGTTCTTTTTAATTATGAATTCCCTTCTTAATTTACCCCACATCAAAGGGATGGTTTCATAACTCATATTTGATGTACGGAGCCCCTAAAGGTTAATGGAAAAAAAACAATTGTGTGCACGATAAACTTACCGGTGAGCCAAGGAGGAAGTGGAGCGCACAGGAGACAACCGTTTCATTGCAGACTGTTATGTTGATGTGGGGAAATGGCAGTGCATACATTTTTTGAGATATATTTCAAACTCAGACTTCATTTTAGGGACATGTCGGCCAGAGGTGTAGAGCTATTTGTTTAAGCACCGGTTTCGCGAACTAGGAGAGTCTGTAAACCAGTCTGCTTTGATCTATGAATTCATGTCCGTGACTCTCACAGACTCACAGTATCTGCTATCTGCGCGCAGAGGGCTGTGTCTTTTACGCACCGCCTTCACTGTGTTTACCTTCATTAGAACAGCTGAATAGAGATTGAGGCTGTTACGTTTTAACCACACATGCACGCACGCACGCACGCACACGCCCCGGCGACCGGACATCTTCTTCATAAAACTAATAATATGGCGTAATAATCGGGCAGCTCGATGTGTCTAACCATAAGAAAGTATCTTGTGCGCACAAGATACTTTTTTCTTTTTCCATGAACCTTTAGGGGCTTCGTATTTATGTATACTAATAATAAAAAAAATATTTACATAGTTAAATAACCCATAACTCTGACTCAATACATTAAATTAAAATTGATCTAGTCCTCTTTTTAATCACTGGATGCTGTAGAAATGGTTTGTTTAAATCATATTATAATGAATATATTATGAATATAATTTCTCTCGGGATGTTTTAATAAAATGACGCACCTCTTTTCCTTCGTCGGTATAAGCATCTTGAAAATGGTTGAACTTATGAATAAACGTTATATTCATGTGTCCCTGAATGGGCTTTCCATACACGTACCTGAGGGTGGAAACACACACAAGTGTAAAGTAAATTTACTTAAGTACAATTTTGAGGTACTTTTCCTCCACACACATGTATTTAATCCCTTTTAGTTACTTTACAGATGTGGATGAATGATGTGAAATATAATCAAGTGTTAAATCAGACTTTAGTTCCACCTGGAGTAAATCCACAAGCTACCCTGCAGTATACAAAGTCATTCAAACTAGCTGCACCTTTACCAGCTTTGAGAACACTTTCATGATCAATCATTATAAAACATATCATATATATTATTCTGAAATGGACCAATCTGCACAATGACTACTTTTACTGTCGCTACTTTCACTATATTTTGATGATAATACTTTTCTACTTTTACTTGAGGAACATTTTGAATGCAGTACTTTTACTGTAACAGAGTATTCCTACACTCTGGTACTTCTACTTTTACTCAAGTACACGATCTGAGTACTTCTACTTTTACTCAAGTACATCTGAGTACTTCTAGTTTTACTCAAGTACACGATCTGAGTACTTCTCCCACCTCTGTGTAAATATTAAATATTACAACTGTCTCACTTTGCTCTGACGGAGCCTCGCAGGGTTTCTCCACGCAGGATAACACTCGGAGCGTTTGTCACCACCTCAAACTTCGGCAGATCTGCAAGAAGACAAACAACAGCTAAATAAACAGGAAAACATATATTTCATCAAGAATTCAGTGTAGAAATATAGAAAGTGTACGTACCGTAATATAACACATGGAAACACTTCTCACTTGAGACCCTCTGTAAACACACAGACGATAAACATGTGTTATTAAGGTCACATTATGAGCACTGCATATTTTTGAAATATACACTTTTTTTACACATATGTCAGTGTGTATGTTTAGAGTGTGTGTATGTGTATGTTGCATGTATGTATATGCACATCTATTACATTTCTGGTGAATATTGGCTCACTGGCAGGGATATATTTTTGTATTCCTATTTAGTTTTTCTTGAAACAGCTTTCAGATAAAAAAAACCCCAATCATTTATTTGTTTATTTAATCACCTTAAAAAATGCTTTCAGATGAATTCTTTTTAAATGAATTTCTTCATAAAATTCCCTGTTTTTCATTTTTAATTAAACATTTTAATTAATTTAATCACCTTGAAAAAAACTACTACTAAAAATGATTTACTTGTTTATATCGATATCTAAAAAAACTGCTTCACAAATTGTTTTTATTCATGTATTTGTTAATTTATTCACTGAAAAATAACTGCTTTTAGATTTAGATTTGTTAATTTTGTTTGTTTATATCATTACCTAAAAAACTGCTTTAAGATTTTTCTTTAAATCCATTTATTCTGTCTTTTTCTACAGCTAGAAAAAACCCACTTCCAGATCCACTGCAGCCTAACACTCTCCCTCTCTTGTCCCTTTCACACCAACGCGGTTCCAGGCCCGGTTCGGAGCTGGAGCTTGAAAAGCACCGGTTTTTCCTGTTCACACCGCAGCGGAGCCGCCTCTAAGCTCCGGAATCTGGTTCGTTTCAAGCACCAAAAAATTGTCGGTCTAGAAGCAAGAACCGCATACGTGGGGCGAGATTAACCTGAGCTAACAGTTTATGGCGAGTAGCCTACGGCAAATAAAAGTGTAACAAGCAGTAGCGCTGAGCAAAGTGACTAGAAGGCAACCACACACTTATAAAAAAACCACACTTTATAAAGTCAGGCAACACTAACCAGGCTTCGTGTGATTCTGTTTATTTGTACCTTACTTTGACCATCCGTTCGCTGTTATTGATCATTGTGGAGAGCAGGCAGACGTTTTGTTTGTTATTATAGCAGCTATCGGATGGAATCAATACATGGGCTGCACAGGTTGTCATGTCCGACTATCACAAGTAGAATCATAATGAAAAATACGCCGGTAAAATGTGCCTGTAGAAAACGGCTTAGCAAGTAGTCAGTTTAGCTTCGGTTGCTATGCTAACATCACCCATGTTATACCAGAGAAACTTTCATAACAGCGTTGTGATGCCAAACAGCGTCAATTCAGACTGACACACATTCACTTAAGGGGAACTGGGGATATGTATCAGCTGCTTGTGTGACAGTCAGACAGTGAATACTTTAGAGCCGTGTGAGCTAACCCGGAGCTAACGGGAGAATAAACTCCCGTGGAAGAGCAGCCAGCACTGCAGCGGTCGGTACATGCCGCTGAAACACATTAATAAACGATGAACCACGGCACTCTGGAGAAAAGTATAAGGTTGGAGAAGTCGTTATTTAATTTAATCTGGCTTCGTATGATTAAAAGCAACACGATCATCGACCCGACGCAGTCCCCCATTGTTGTTGTAGTGAGTGCCGTTGGGGAGAAAATCAGTGACGTAAACGGTGACGTCATGACGCAGCAGCGGCAGCTGGGCGGTGTGAACACAACGGGGGCTGAAAAGAAGAACCGGTTCCGAACCAGAAAAGCTCTAGCACGGAGCTAGAACGGGACTGCGTTGGTGTGAAAGGGGCATCTGAGAGCCACTGTTGAGATGAACCAGACTCACGTTGATGGTGGCGACGATGCACCATTTCCCCAGAGGAGGGTTTTCAGAGAGCTGGAACTCTGTGGAGACGACCCCGAGGACCCCCTCCACGTCCAGCCACTGACGGAGCAGATTCCCCCGGGGGTCCTGGAGCAACGAGGGAACAGAGAAATGAAATCAAGATTTAAAACTGAGAACAGAAAACCATTTCTTAGTTCAGCTTTTTACATTTTAAAGTTAGTGTCTTTTACTCCTTCTGACTATGACCAGGAGAGGTGGATTCAATCAGCAGAATACTGAATATACCGGGTTTGTTTATCACATCTGGGGTTGGTATATCTATGAGGAGGTTTTTGGACAAAATCATGTCGATTCTGCAGGACAAAAATAGGATAAGAATATTTCAAATAAAGTTTTATATTATTTTCTTCCCTTTTTAAAAACATAACACCTGCTGCTGAAAAAATATCGACATCTTCATATTTGCACATTTCTACTTTATTTTACTTTAAAGTGGACCTATCATGCTATATTTGAATAATATAGTGTAGGACCATACCTATATAAGGCATATTTATACTTTTTTTTTTTTTCAAAATACCAAACAGATCATGCATTTTAGCCATGCCTCATTTTGCTCAATTTGACATTTTTTAGCTCTGCTCTGCAAGGGCTGATTCTGTGAGAACAGCACCACCTACAGGCCTGGCATATGTACTACAGCATCTCCAGCGCTTTCGAACGGCAATGGCCGTGGCTGTCTCCTCCTGATTGGTGGAGTTGGCCCAATAGCCGTAGCGCCACCGTCCTGACGTCAGGACAGTGTTCAAATCTGGATCAGTTTTTATCAGATCCGTTGCAGCCCCTTTTTTAGAGATTTGGGTATGGAGGAAAATAGAGAGGGTTGTGTTTTCTGACACTTGGTGAGTTCCCTGGAACACCGGGGACACATATTCATGTAGAAAAGACGTACAAAAGTGCATTTTGCATGATAGGTCCCCTTTAAGTAAGTAGTGAGTAACTCCTCACCTTGATGGTGATGTTCAGTGGTCTCTGGAGGGGCTTCCCGTCAGGCAGCACTGAGACGGCTCTGATCTTCACCACCTGTCCCGGCAGGTAGCTGCTCCTGTCCGTCTGGAGGAAGGTGGAGGAGCCTTTGGGGTTAAAGTGCAGCTGAGAGGAGTTGGAGAAAACCTCCTCGCTGCCCCGGTGACCTTTGACCTCCAGCTGGTACGTGCTCCAGTAACTGGACTCGCTCTCTGGGATCTGCAGGAGAGGAAACATCCAAACATCTCAACCAGGAAGAAGAGATATCCCCTAAACCTCTGGAGAATAATTCATCAACTGACAGTTCATTTTGAAGTGACTGTTATTTTGTTTATATATTGACTATTATTTATGTCTTTTAATGTGTGCATATGGATAAATGTGTCTGTTGATTATGTATGTATATATATTTTTATATACATACTTTTATATATATTTGTATTTTGTATTCCTCGGGATTGTGAGAAACGGTTTTTCGATCTCTCTGTCTCTACACACAAACTGAAAGATTGACAATAAAGTTGACTTTGACTTAATTGATTTAATAATAGAAATGATAAAAGGGAGCTTTGTATTCCTAAATTGTCTAAACTGTGAGAGCTGGATCGGTCAATAAAGCTCCTTAAACGTCAGCCTCTTTAATTACATGAAGTCATAAAGTACAATTTGCACATCATTACTTTAATTTCTTATTATAATTTTTTTAATTTGAATTAAATGTTAATTTGAATTTCCAAATTTCTAACTCCGTTTATATAAATATTTGTATTATTTTTGTATTATATACTTTATTGCATATTCTTACTTTAACTTATTTTGTTCATAAAATGTTTTCATCTTTTATCCCTCCTGTTGTCTTCGGGTCAAATCTGACCGATTTACTACTTTCATCAATCATAACTTATTTGTTTTACATTCGATTGCATTAAGGCTTTATGATATCCTTCACAGTAGATCTTTGAACATATACAATAGCTGATCACCACTTTCATTGAATTTTGGATGATTTAGTCAACTTTGTAACACATTGTGTTCCAGGTCATAAAGAAAAGGAATTAGTAACCATTCGGATCAGATAAAAAACACACACACACACACACTCTCTAGATGTGTGTGTCCCCTTATGTGCTCATCCCCCATGGCACACACACGCACACACATCAAACACACAGAACAATTTGATACATTTCCCGCTCTTATGTGCCCATCCCCCCACATGGATCACACCTGGCACACGCAATACATGTTCAGTGTCTATTCTTTGTATATTTACTGCAGTTTTTCATGTATACCAGTAGTCTGATACAATATGTACAGTTTGAAAGGGTGTTAAATTACATTTGGTGATGATTAATTGTTTTTGTGTTAATGTAATAGCAGTTAAAACAGGACCGGTCAAATTTGACAGCAAACACCAAAGTAAGGGGGGGAAACGAAGACAATAGGAGGGTTAATCCTTATTTTATTTCTAGAATGGAGCAACTGTTACGAAATTCAATTAAACCCAGGATAAATAATTATTTAACCATTTGTCTTTATTATTATGATTTGATTTAATTTATATAATAATTAAAAATATGGTTATCAAATAAAATTCCCCCAGGTGTAAATAAACAATGTGTCATACTTACAGGTGGCAGAGTCAGCAGCTGGGTCGACCCTTTAAACCAGAATTTAAAGCACATTTATTTAATTAATTACACTTGCAAAGCTAATTAAACCTTGTTTTTAGATTCCTTTATTGTCACTACTCAGAGTACAGCGAAGATCCAAGCATTCCCAAAGGTGCACTCACACATAACAGACAGAACAAGTATCGTTACGTTTTTATAATTGTCTAATGTTAATGATTTATAAAGGGTCTGACCTCCAGAGACGATGGTGGTGTTTGAGCTGAGGATGAGGTCTTTGTGCCGGATGAGAGCGGACACGTTGACGGAGGAGGAGTGGGTCAGCAGGGAGACGGAGAGCGTGGTCGCGACCCCGGGGCGGAGAGAGCGGGGGGCCAACAGCAGGTAGGAGGGGTCCGGGGCCGGGCTGAGGGACACAACACGTACTATTTAACTTTATTTGTATTTATTATTTCTTCACATTATTATATTTTTTTAATTGTTTATTTTTTTTTACATTTTATTCTTATTTTTTTTTTATATATTATTATTATTATTATTACTTTATTTTTTTTCTTTCATTATTTTTTTTTCTTTTTTTTATTTTTTTTCATATATATATATTTTTTTTAATTATCCATTTATTTATTTTATATTATTTTATTTTTAATTTAATGAATTTATACTTATTTTATTTTTTCATTTTATTCTTATTGTTTTATATTATTTTATTTATTGTCATGAACAGTCATCTGGAGTCGAGTGCACCAGCTGGGCGTAAACTGGGCGTAAGCTGGGCGTAACTCTACGTCCGACGTAGTGGTGCACTAGTCATAAGTCTTAAGACCAAACTAAAGTTGCATCACTTAGTTCCATACTAGGCGTAAAAACCCAAGCGCAACGCAATGTCGAATACAGGGCTTAAGTCTAAGTGGTGCACTAGTCATAACTTTAGTTTGGTCTTAACCTTTGGTCTTAAGCAGGCGTAAATTGGAAAGACAGACTAGTATCCATAGTAACGTAAAACAGGCAAGAAGGAAAATAATGATGGCAGTGCGCCTTGTTTACATGTTTAACAACGAAAGGGCATTAAGACGAGAAAGAGTCGTCCGTGATCGAAAAAACCCACTGGACATCTATTCAGTGAGCTGATAGAGAGGTTTCGTTTCGGCAGACAAGCCCTTTTTGAATTAATCAAATGGAGCTTTTCAACCGTCGACGGAAGCGGCAGCCAGTCAAATCAGATGCCAGTACAAGCGCTAGCCAATCAAACCGCGTGCTTGTGTGTCCGGGGCGGGAGATTAATGTGATTGGTTGTTGGTCGCACGCCATACATGCCCACCGGCAAGCTTGGTCTTAACCTTCGCTTCTACGTCGGACGTAGAGTTACGCCCAGCTTACGCCCAGCTGGTGCACTCCACTCCTGAGGATTATCCAGAGGAACGAGTACACAGCATTTTTCAATTCTTTATGGTTAATACTAAACAAATTAGAATGTATTTAATTTATATAGCACTTAATAACAATTCATACAAGCGTAAAACTAACACACATACAGGAATGACAAAAACACAATATGCAATTAAAATAATTTAAAACCTCACAGAATAAATCCTCATGTTTTTCAAAGAAAATGGGTTTCCCCCGTCTGAAGATATGGACAGTCGACTAAAGCACATTTGGTTTTGTCGACTAATTAGAAAAAATGTCATTTGATTTAATTGAGTTTCTCATTAAAGGAGTCACATTGAAAATAAGTCAAACAGCATGAAATAAATGACTAAAGATAACTAAAGATAAATCAATTGTTGGCGAAAATAAACCTCAGAAAGAGCCCTTAAATGTGCAAAAATACTTCAATAAGTTCACCTATGTGTTTACCTGTGTGTGTGTGTGTGTGTGTGTGTGTGTGTGTGTGTGTGTGTGTGTGTGTTTACCTGTGTGTTTTACCAGTGTGTGTGTGTGTGTGTTTACCTGTGTGTTTTACCTGTGTGTGTGTGTGTGTGTGTGTGTGTGTGTGTGTGTGTGTGTGTGTGTGTGTGTGTGTTTACCTGTGTGTTGTGTTAACGGCCGCGGTGAAGCAGATGAAGCCGAAGAATCCCCACACCTGGAGACGATCCATTTGCAAGCAGAGCAAAACTCTCCAAAGGGATTCAGTGACAGAAGGAGACAGGTGTAGTCTTTATACCTGAACAGTGACTCTTCCTCTTCCTCCTCCTCTTCCTCCTCCTCCTCCTCCTCCTCCTCCTCCTCCTCCTCCTCCTCCTCCTCCTCCTCTTCCCTGATTTCCCCGGGGATTCTTCATTCAGTAACTGGGTGTTTCCACTCTGAGGAGCAAGAAGTCAAAGTCAAAGTCAAAGTCAGCTTTATTGTCAAAAATTCTTCATGTGTTATACATCCAGAAATCTTGAAATATCGTTTCCCACAGTCCCACAGTGTGACATGTATACATAAAACAACAACAAAAAGGGTCTGGATAAGCGTGGTATACCGGTTAAAATGTCAATAATATATTTAAAGTGTTCAAAGTACAGTTACATTTTTATATACAAAGCCATGTTAGGGAAACTTCCATCCTACATCTGCTCCCTGATCTCACGGCGAATTGTAAGTGGCTACTGCCTGAGATCGCATGCTGTGGTTTTATTAAATGTGCCAACTGCTAGGACTGTCTTAGGGAAGATAGCATTTAGATGCGCAGCTCCACTGTCCTGGAATAGTCTGCAATTGAAATGGAAACTGAGCAATCTGGTGCCACTAAATGTTTTTAAAGCTTGGTTGGATGCTACTGAATCGGAAGCTGTTGGTACCTGTTCATGTGGATAGTTATGTAAATTGTAATCCCTGTAATGATGCTGTATGATGTCCTTTTTGTTGTTCTGTTTATGTTTTTATATTTCATGTGGAACCTACTTGAGCAGGTCTCCCTTGAAAAAGAGATCAATGATCTAAATGGGATACACCTGGATAAATAAAGGTTTGAAATGAAATAAAATGAGGAACCTTCTTCCTGAAGGCAGGCGGCTGAAGAGGCTGTTGGAGGGGTTTGTGGAGTCACCCACAATGCTGAGTGCTTTGCGGGTGAGGCGGGTGTTATATATGTCCTGTAGTGATGGGAGTGAGGCACCGATGATCCTCTGGGCAGAGTTCACAATGCGCTGCAGGCTCTTGCGGTTGGAGGCGGTGCAGCTTCCAAACAATATTGGATTGTTCTCTCTTAGTAAGATCCCATTTTCAATACAATTGTGGTCTTACCTTGACTTGAAGATGAAGTCCATGCTATCCTTATGGACAAAAATCTCTATGACTTTTTTAACTTTTTCAAAAGTCTAGTTTGTTGTTTGCGTCTACCGTCTCTGTGTAGAATAACAGTAGCAACAAGAACCTGTGGGCTCACGTGCACCCCGTGCAGTGCGGCAGAGGTTATGGCTGCCTCCCCTGGTGCTTTTTCATTGCCGTATGATGAGACCAGCGAGCCTAACGCCGGGATTCCACCGGGTCCGTCTGCGCCGCGTTACGGCTGTGCCGCAGTTCTGTTTCGACCTCCTACAGCAGGGATGGGCAACTTGGATGGTGGTGGGGGCCACACAATTGATGTACTGGCCACCAGGGGGCCGCAGATTCACTTGGAACACACACACCCAAATTCCATGTATTGTATGTAATTATTCACAAAAATACTAAGTCTGACATCTTCATTGGCATTTTACAATCTTTCAGGGAACATCCTCCAAGAAGCTCACTAAACAAATATTAGTTCACAGAAATGTTATTTAATTTTTACAAGTGGCATTTGTGTTGAACAGGTTAGTTAACAGTGGAATAAAACTTTTTTAAACTATTGGAAAGCACGGAAAATGTGTGCATTGAGATTAAACATTAAGATGACATAAACATGAAGTCATGAACACTAACCCAGACATTAGTTGTCTAACTTGAACCTAAGACACTTCACAGCCTGTCTCTGCTGACTCACAATAAGGGGAATGTCAACACAGGCAACTGTCAACTGTCTGCTGTTCCTCAGCACCGCTCCCCCTCCCTCTCGCTGAAATTATTAATGAAAGGCGTATAGTAATCACAGCAGCAACGTGCAATCAGGGGAGGCAGAGGCCCAATTCCAAACCACACCCTACCCACTCCCACTCCGTGACTGAGTGAACTGCGTGAAGGAGTGCCACTCGCAGCTTAACGAGGCTCTCTCCTCTCAGGTGGAGGGAGTAAATACAGCGGCAAGCTTTGGGACAAACTCCCCTCTCTCCGGCAGAAACAGGAAATGCCGTAACTGTATGTAACAACGGTTTCAAATCAGCATCTCTTTGACAAAACATTAAATTAATAACTAAAATAAAACTCCAAACATCTTTAGATATGTTACTTTTTTGTAAAGCTCTTTTAGTTTTAAACCTGATGTTTATAAGCTTCTTGGTTTTTGCAACAGTCTGTAGATATACACAACTTTAAAATAAAATGCACACATTTACCTTTTTCTAGACTAAACACAGGTACGATCCTAAGTTAAAAAAAGATATGAGGTTATCATGAGGTTGTTAACATCGCAGTTTATCAGCGGATGTTTGCTGGAACTACTTGTAAACAGCGTGTTTCCTGACGGACACACTCAGCGTTGAGACCGGTGAGGTAGGGCAGCAGGTGAAGTCAGGACCGATGCAGACTCGCTGTTTGAGGGCTTGATAATCCACTCCCCCTCAACACTTGTTGGTTTGGAACAGCACTTAATGTGGCGGACCCTCCGCGCGAACGGAGGGGTAGTGTGTAGGTGTAAGGTATGGTTTGGAATTGGGCCAGAGCCTCACCTGTCATACTCCAATGTAACGACAAAAAAACTAAAGAAAAACTAAAGAAATAATAAAATGTCCACTGATCTGTGTTGTAAATGTGATTTCTGTATGATTCCTATCGCTTTTTATAGTCCAAATCGGCAAATTTGCCAAGCTCCGCTACAACTACATGGGAGCGATGAGAAGTGAGGCAGGGTTGAGCTGTGCCTCACTTAACCCTACAGCAGGGGTGCCCAATACGTCGATCGCGATCGACCGGTCGATCGCTAAGGTAGTGTGGGTAGATCGCATGGCATTGAAAAAAAGAAAATCATCTTTTTTATTTTATTTTTTTTTAAAGTTAGCCTATCATCCATCCTTACTATGGCATTTGCCACTTGATTGACGTACAGGTAAGCCAGTCTGAGTTGTATTGTGCCATACGGGTTCATGCATTATGAGGGGGCCTCACCTCTTCATCTGAAGCGCAAATACGGCGCACTATTATGCGCTTATGCGGCGCAATTAGTGTAAGCGCGCCACAGTTTATCCGCCGCTTAATCCACTAGCACCCCCCCGCGCGCGCACTCGCGACACAGATTGGGCAGGGGCGGCCCTGTAGGTAGATCTTTTGGGCTTGGTCATTTTAAAAGTAGCTCCCAAGCTGAAAAAGTGTGGGCACCCCTGGCCTACATAAACTGGCTGGAGTGCGGGCACTCATTTAGTGCTCCAGCCAGTTTATGTGGGGTGAGGTGAGGCAGAGATGAGATCTGCCTCACCTCAGATCCGTCCTATCCTCGCCATCCATTGTCTCTAAATAACTTATTTCACGTATATATGATATTTACCCGTGTATTCCACCAGGTCCGTCTGCGCCGCGTTACGGCTGCGCCGCGGTTTTGTTCCGACCTCCTACAGCGTAAAACCCCACCGGGCGCGTATCAGAAGCGGAGCGTCTTGCGTGCCGGCTCGCAGTTGTTGTTGATTTGGGCATATTTCCTGGACAGGCTTCTTTGTACAGACAAAGTTAATAATAATTGTAATATTCCAGTTATAAACGACATGTATCAAAGATGTGATGCTGTACTTTAGTGGTAAAAAGATGCATTCATCATCATAATTATTCTATATATATAATTTACACAGTGCCTGTAAACCGGAGGAGAACGCTGGCATTTCTCCTCCTACTTGAAAGACTACGGAGGGGTAGGGACTGCAAAATTAGTTTATTTTGGGGATTGACTGGATGATCTGACGTTCCACTTCCTGCCCGGCGCTATGGAACGCCCCGCGTCTCGCGTCGAAAATAGACCAGCCGCGTATTTTTAGCAGAGCCCAGCGCCGAGACGCTTCTGGGACGCTTCTGAGTCGCAACGCGGCGCATCTGGTGGAATAACTCCCATTGACTAGAGTGGCCGCGATCGCTGTGAACGCCGCGGCGCAGACGGACCCGGTGGAATACACGGCTAAATATCATATATACGTGAAATAAGTTATTTAGAGACAATGGATGGCGAGGATACATGTAATAAGGGGATCTACAAACATTACTTTGGTGACCTACAGTGAGATGGTAACAGGCTTGCGCTTAGTGCCCGCGCTCCAGCCAGTTTTTGTGGGGTGTATCGTAGCAACTTCAAATCAGCTGCTGTCTAGAGTAAAAGATGAGTTAGGCAAATATTCAAAGAAACACATTATCGATATAAAGTATTTTGAGATCTTCGTTTTAATGCTTGCAAGCAGTGACACCTCCACAAAGAGAGTGCCCTGTTCTGCTCTGTTACAGCCACTCTTATAGGAAAACATTCAAAGATAACCCACATGACAGACCAGAGGCCTGTACTACGAAGCTGGTTCAACCTAACCTGGATATGTTGGAGTTAGCCGGTTGGCCTAAGCCAAAACATACGCGCTGGCGCTAAGCTGTACTACGACGCTGGATATCAAGTGGATCGCTCAAGCCGCCGTGTCCTATCTAGTTAGGTGCGCGTTCACATGAAAGGGGTGGTATTTGGAGCATTCGACCAATCTCAAACACGGAGAAGCGTACTGACAGCGCAGCGTCATACTTCCTGAATGAAAAGTGAACTTTAATATTAGTCAAATATGAAGAAGTTAAACTTTAAACATCCATGACTTAAACACTTTACCCAGGATAAAAGCCACATAGCTGCACCTGCAAGGTGAATACAGCTGGTAAAAGAAAAAGTGTTTGAATGCGTACATTAACAGGTTTATGAAATCACTGCCCCGTCCAAGCCACGATCTGACTTTAATTACATTTGACTCGAGTGTTTCGTCAACTTAATGTGTTGCTTAAAATAAT